CTCTGTGTGTGTGTGTGTGTGTGTGTGTGTGTGTGTGTGTGTGTGTGTCTATATATATATATATATATAATGTGTATATGTATGTATGTATGTATTTTTCGCTCCATAAGATGCAAAAAAAGGTGGGCAAAAATGTCTGTGCGTCTTATGGAGTGAATGTCTTGAGAGCGGAGGCAGCGAGGCTGACAGTGTACCCAGTGGTGTGGAATCCCTATCGCCTGACGCCCGGGACATGCAGTATCGGGCGAGTAGTGTTTTTTTTTTTGTTTTTTTACATTTAGCCCGACTCCGGACAAGCAGAGCTAAATGTATAGTGGGGAGCCGCTGCTCGTTTTCATACAAGTGATCTGATTAGATCACTTGTATGAAAGGAGCAGCGGCGATCCTGTCTGACTACAACCCCTCCCCGCCGCAGTTTTTGGTCTGACAAATATGAATCCAATAATGATCTGCGCTTTAGGATAACAAACCTTCCTGTGTGGTTTGTACAGCTCTCCTAAAAGGTATTGACCCTTAGTGGTTCTCAAGCTGTGTAACCTCAGGACCCACCTTTTGTCCTCTGTCATTTAAGTTGCGACTTAAGTTGCAATGGAATGCACGGCAGTGTGGGCTGCTGTGCTGTAACGGAGCTCCATCCATATACGCATTGCTTGTACTGCTCCCATGCGTGCCCTGTAGAGGTGCCGGGAGCCAGAATGTGACGTCACTCCGGTCCAGGCACCTCTACAGGACATGAAAGAGAGCTGTAAGCAATGCACGTATGGGTGGAGCTCCCTCACGGCCATACCCTCTGCCCATCCCCCAAGTCGCCATTCGGTGCCGGGCAGCATATTTTGAATGGCTGCTCGGTGTGAGAATGGATAATGCTGCGCCTAAAAAAGTGGAAGGCATGCAGCGACCCACTGAACATGGGTAGCAAAAAGGTTTTCCCAGCACACTCACCAGCCAGCATGCAAAAAAACTTGTCTCACCGCTAAGGTAAAAAACAGAGGTTTAGATACAAAGGACCACATTTTCCTGAAGCACCTCAAACACCTACAAAATGCTGGATATATATCCAGTGTGATAGGTTCTGTACGCCATCAATTGCAGAGAGCTGCCAGCTACACCCAGATGAGGAGATCTGACTGTACCAGTGTGGTATGATAGACATTCGCAGCTCGTGAAATATGATTTTTACAGACGGTGTCCCCTCCCCTCAAAGCAGACGGACCAGTTTGTAAGTGGCAGATAATAATGTATTTTATCACCTTGGAATAGTCCTTCTCACACCATGAAACAAATTGGTTTATACCCGGGAGTCCAAATTAAATAAGAGTTTGATCCGTGACCTATAAATGCTCCACAAAAAGAACATTATGGTCCTGTAAGAATCTGTCACTTGAAAGACCCAAACTCAAAAATATAAAAAATATCTTTTTATTGTAATTTTCAAACCTTCATTCACACTTCACCTCATCTGGAAAACATCCATTTAAAAACAAGACAACGTTGTCTCCACACTGGCCCACATTCATACAATTGGCTGGTACCCATGACCTTTGCCATATCTATTCTGTATCTCATCAACGAAGAGCCTTCGATGAAAACTCAAACTGCCGCTTGTCTGACCGTGTCCACCAAAGTCAAAGGGTATGTGCAGCCAAAACGCTTAGTTTTGGATAGAATGGAGGTGGAATGAAACCCCTGGCTGGTTCCCCTCATGTCCTGGTGACAACACTTTACCAGACAGGAAGTGAGGAGAACAATCCAACAGCAATACAGACAGATATTGAAATGTTTCTTTCGTAGATTATGGGAAGGCCGGAACCCCTATCAGATTTGTATTTCTAACTATATAGGAAGCGGTATAGGCACCACACCACTGGTCCAAAATGATTTATTATTGGATAATGGATAGAAATCAACGCGTTTTTGGGGTTCCTGTACCCCCTTCCCCATGAGGGCTTATTCCTGTACCTCAGATATGGCTGGAACTGGTAATAACTGCTGGTGGCAGGATGTGACTAGATACAAATATCTATTATAACCCAAGTCTCCCACCCCCCCATTTATAGTCGCATCATACATTGGTCCTGATGAAGAGGAAACGTCTGAACCGTGAATGACTCTCTACCAATTATCTAATAAATTACTTTGGACGCGTTGACCATTGGTGAACCACCTTTTACTACTTCCTCTATAGTTGGACTTTTTACATGAACCCCTCCACCCCTCCCTTGCAAGCCTTGTCAGTGTGATCAATGAGATGGTATTTTTTTTTTTTTCTCCCCAACACTGGATCTCTGTAGATTTTTCTCTCACTTCCTCTTTGGCAAAACCATTGTCGGGAGGACAGGAAGTGGGGAAATCTAACGCATCCACAGATATCAGTAAAAACCTGACGGGAATTCTAATCCTCCCCCACCATATGCAAGACTGGAAATAATGTTTTTGGCTTGACATACACGTTGACCTTTTAATTTTGTGATGGCTCAGCAAAACATTTTCACCAAATAAGAGCTCCAGTCCAAACTTTCTGTATGTGAAAGGAAGGAGCTGTTGAAATATGAAAATTCTTCTCTGTATCAACTTTTTGGTTTCTTGGATCATTACGTACAAATTAATTTTTTTAGGCTCGTAGTGGGCGGTGTACAAAAATTAAACACCGTGGTGAACAAAAAAAGTCCATGTGAACACAAACGGACGCATTAAATGGTCTATCTCCCGAAGAGCCAGGGCCCTACCCTGACCCCCTCGGGCACAAGGCTTCTGACAGAGGCAGAGCACTGGTGTCCACCTGGCCAAAGCCAGATGGACCCATTCCTCTAGGTCATCTGAAGCCAGCCACCAAGTACTAGGTTAGGGCCTCCCTCAAAGGGAGACCCCCCAGTTCAGGGGAGGAAGGAACCTAATGGCCACACATCCTCCCTCTAGACATCAGGGCAGGCCTGAAGACATGCACCCACCATGCTCTGGAGTTAAAAAAAAAAACACATATATAAAGTGCACAGACAAAGTGAGAAAAATGAATAGTGCCGATGTGCAAGACCGCAGCTAGGCCCTAGATCAGGGGTGCCCACAATTTGTGTGGTAAGATCTACTACTTTTCAAATGACGAGCTACATGAGATCTACCAACCAAAAAAAAAAACATACTCCCTCTCTCTCTCTCTCCTGGCTGTCTCTCCTGGCTGTCTCTCCTGGCTGTCTCTCCTGGCTGTCTCTCCTGGCTCTCTCTCTCCTGGCTGTTTCTCCTCGCTCTCTCTCTCCTGGCTGTTTCTCCTCGCTCTCTCTCCCCTGGCTGTCTCTCCTCGCTCTCTCTCTCCTGGCTGTCTCTCCTCGCGCTCTCTCTCTCCTGGCTCACCTTGCTGTATTTTGCAACAGGCCGTGTAAACTAATATTCTTTGTAAACGCTCTCTCTCTCCTGGCTGTTTCTCCTCGCTCTCTCTCCCCTGGCTGTCTCTCCTCGCTCTCTCTCTCCTGGCTGTCTCTCCTCGCGCTCTCTCTCTCCTGGCTCACCTTGCTGTATTTTGCAACAGGCCGTGTAAACTAATATTCTTTGTAATACATGGCACTACAAACCCCAGTTTCCACCAGAAAGGTGTCGGGGAGCTCGGCTCAGCAGACTCTGGCTAATAGGTAATCATGTGCGCACAGCTAAATAAATATACCAAAATTGGAATAAAGGGGCCGCCATTCCCCCCCTTCCTGATCTACCAGCATCAGCTTTGAGAGCTACTGCTAGATCACCATCTACCTTATGGGCACCCCTGATCTAGATAATTCTGTACAAATTGGCATCTAACTCCTAACAGCCTGGCAAGTGTAGTGTCGGTGCCTCCGCACTTGTATGTTGAGGTGATGGACGGCAAGGTAAAGGTGAAAGGTAATAGAGCAGGAAGGTGCAGTTGGTGTTATGAAATTTGGCATCCCCAGCATCCTAGTTACAATGTTATTCCCTGATGAGGTCAATTAGTCATTCAAGTCGATGCAAATGAGTTCATGAATGGAGACCTATGTTCTTGGGAAAATCACAGCCCTTAAAGTGACATTAAACCCTCAGATTTTTTAACATAAACCAATACTGTAGTGTGTACCTTACTGTAATCCATGGTAGTTTCCCTTCTCTTTGCTGCTCTTCCTTTTATATCCTCATGTCTTCTCATGCTTGGGGAGAACTTCCCTTTGCAGCTGACTGCCTCTTCCTGTAGTGCTGGTTCAGGTTACAAGCCTATACAAACGTATACACAGACACCGTGTATCCATTCCTGAGACAAGGCAGTCTGCTGCAAAACAGAAGTTCTGCCCCAGCATGAGAAGACATGTGGATTTAAAAGGAACAGCAGCAAAGAGAAGGGAAACAACCATGGATTACAGTAAGGCGCACATTACAGTATTGTTTTATGTTAAAAAATCTGAGGGTTTAATGTCACTTTAAGGCTTGGTGAATGTCTACAAGCAATGCCGGGGATGCCATATTTTATAATATGCCAGGAATCTTCAACTGTTGTGTTTTACCAAATGTGTCAAGCAGTGTGACAACAATGTTTAATCTTTGACAATATGAAGCTGTCCTGTGTCTCCATGAATCTGGCGACACTGATGGATGAATTTAATAGAGAAGCTGTTCACTGACTTTCTGTATCTCTCCTGCAGGTGTCGCTACCTTGCGGTGCAGCTGTCCCCGGCCATCCCAGTGTTCGCAGTCGTGCTCTTTCTTTTCTCTATTGCCACTCTGCTACGGACAAGTTTTAGCGACCCCGGGGTGATACCCCGGGCATTGCCGGACGAGGCGGCTTTCATTGAAAGGGAGATTGGTAAGTAGGAGG